TAACTGACGGGTTGGGACAGGCCACCCAAAAAACCATGCCAGCTCAGGGGTAACCTTGCCCTTAGACTTGGCAGTGCTAGTAGATGCAGAGACAGTGTTCTGGACAGCCTCATAGCTATCATTCACAGCTTCCCCGAGAGGCCATCCAGTCTCCTGAGTGGCCAGGAGGGCGTGTACTGTGGTCACGAGTCTCTACATGATGCTACTCCTATCACGGATGGCCTTGGCCAGGGGGCTAAGCAGTGCAGGAGGCAATAGCTGATGACCTTGAGTTATACCATGCATGGCTCATGCCATCCCAAACATGGGGGCTTGGACAGAGGGGTTCCTGGAGGGTGGTCGTCTTGTTGGTGATGAGCGTCTTATTCTCAGCCTTGACCATGCCAACAACTCAGTCATTGGTGGAATCACATGGACCCTGTCATGGAATCACATGGACCCTGTCATGGAGTCACATGGAACCCTCTGTGGGAGAGTCATGTGGACTGTGAGGCTGTTAAGGAACTAGTCACTGATTGTGACAGCATGTGCTTGAGCCCTTCAGACCAGGCCCCAGTGCACCCAGATCGTCCATTGCCCCCTCACCATCCTGTGTCAGAGGTGCACTGGCACCACATAAGATGACACGGCTGCCTGTCCACCCAGATCGTCCATTGCCCCCTCACCATCCTGTGTCGGAGGTGCACTGGCACCACACAAGATGACACGGCTGCCTGTCCACCCAGATCGTCCATTGCCCCCTCACCATCCTGTGTCAGAGGTGCACTGGCACCACACGAGACGACATGGCTGCCTGTCCAGAGAGCTTGTGCCCAGGACTGCTGGGAAATCGGATTTCTGAGTCTGGTACTTGATCTGCCGTGGATGTCCACGGGCTCAGGGTAGCTGTTTCTGACTGAGACTCGTGATATGCTGTGTGGGTCACCTTGGCCCGGCCAACCCACCTCCAGGTCTGGAAACCTCTCTCGGATGACTTTGGATGATGGGATGTTGAGGAGTTGTCTCCTCTCGGGTGACTTGGAGCTCCCTCCCTTTGGCTGCATGTGCTGCCTGTGTGCTAGAGTTCCGTTCTAGAAGTCTCCTCCAGTCCTGGCCTTCCACCACTACCTTCAGGAGATTCCGCAGTCTTTCTGTCCTTCTCATTGATGTCTTCTGCTCTTCTATCCAGGAATTTAACTTCCAGTTCTGCTGGTGGGTTTGTTCTGAAACGGTCTTGAGTTCGTGGCTTAGCAGGTTAGGGTGCCACTTCTGTGCTGGCATCCCTTGGTGGATTGCTCATTTGGATCCTAGCTGCTTCCAGTCTAGTTCCCTACTAATGCATGAGGCAGGGCAGTGGAAGACGGTCCAAGTCCTTGGGCCCTGCCTCCATGGGGGAGTACAGGACAGAGTTCCTGGCTCCTGGCTTTGGGCTGGGCCGGACGTGCTGTTAACGCCAGCTGGGAAGTGAACCAGCAGATAGAAGATCCATCTCTCTCAATGTTTGTCTTTCTGTGGGTCTACCTTTCAAATGATCACTTCATTTAGAGAAAAAAAGAAGTTATATTATTGCTTAATGGATAATGCAATTATCTCCTTGTGGAAGGTGCTAACAATAGTTTTTAAAAAGTTCTGTGGGGCTGATGTTGTGGCCTAGTGAATTAGACGTTTTAATCTCTTATGGGATGTGGACGTTGTAATGTCCACATCCCGTATTGGGTTCCTGTTCAAGTTCCACCTATTCCACTTCTGACTCAACTCCCTGCCTAGGAAAAGCAGCAAAAGATGTCCCAGATGCTTGAACCTGTGCACCCATGTGGTAGAAGTTCCCATTAGAAGAAGTTCCTGGCTTCGCGTGGCCCAGCCGTGACTGCTGCAATTTTGGGAGTAAACCAGCAGAAGGAAGCTCTGTCTCTTTCTGTGAAACTGCTTTCTGGTTAGTCTTTATGACAAAGCTTTCTTCTTACCACATGATCTCTCTCTTCTTTTTCCCTCCTCTGGTTTTTGTTGGGAATGCCACCCATCTGCCTTTCTCAGGGCCTGATGTTTCCAAACAGTGCTGGTTGGAAGCAGGGTTGGAGACTGGCCAGCACTGTGAGCTGGTGCGGCCTCACTGTGAGCTGGTGCGGCCTCACTGTGAGCTGGTGTGGCCCGCACTGTGAGCTAGGGTCTGTGGGTCAGACCTTAGACTAGGTCCTCTTAGGTGCCTCACACCATCCATCTCCTGTCTACAGGGCGAAGGCTGGCTGGCTCCCCCAACACGGGGCTGAATGGGAGTATGAAGTGACTTGCTCTGCACATTCCCCAGGTGGGACCACGGGGTTCCTTAGGAAATGGTTGCACATCTCTGGAATGGGGCCATTGTCCAGGACCGCTTTCTTCTGGTACGCTGCAGGCCCCTTCTGTACCCTCTTCTCAGCTGAAGGATGTTTGGGCTCCTTCTAGCTTTGGGCAGTTCTGAGTAGAGACACAATAAGCAGGGGTTTCTGTAAGCATCAGCTCATATTTATTTTGGGTAAATATTTCTAAGTTGGATTTGTGGGTGGTATGACAATCCTATTTGAATTTATAAGAAACTGCCAAATGGCTTTCCCCAGTGGCTATGCCTAAATTTCGGGTGACTTAGAGTTCTAGTTGCTCCTGATTCTGGTCAACACTTGGTGTTGCCAGATTATTTTTAGTTTTAAAATGTAGCCATTCTTTTAGAAACATTTTCTTTCCTTGGTTCTTTCCTTTCCTTCTCTCCTTAGTCCTTGTTTTCTTTTTCGACTTTCATATATTCATGTTGTCTTTGGTGACCTCCCGTCGGTCAGTTTGCTCTCCAGACACCCATAGCCATCAGGGCTGGGCTGTGCTGTGGCAGGAGGCATGTGTCACCAAGTACTGGAGACTGAACCCAGGCCCTCTGCTACGTGGGTGCCCCCATGACTCCCTGACGGACGGCACCTTATTGCTGTCACTGTGGGTGTGTCTGAAGCTGCCCTGGGCACGTGGAAGGCCATCTTCTGCAGGTGTTAAGTGGTGTGTGTGAGTGTCTGCGGGGGGACTGAGAGCAGGGCTCAAGTACTGGCTGTTCTGCTTCTAGCAGCTCCCTGCTAATGCGCCTGGGAAAGCCACCCACGCGGGCTCCCGCCACCCACACAGGGACCCATGAGAAGCTCCTGGTGCGGCCTGGCCCCGCTGTGACCATCGTGGGGCCATGAGAAGCTCGTGGTGTGGCCTGGCCCCGCCGTGACCATCGTGGGGCCATGAGAAGCTCCTGGTGTGGCCTGGCCCCGCTGTGACCATCGTGGGGCCATGAGAACCTCGTGGTGCGGCCTGGCCCCGCTGTGACCATCGTGGGGCCATGAGAAGCTCGTGGTGCGGCCTGGCCCCGCCGTGACCATCGTGGGGCCATGAGAAGCTCGTGGTGCGGCCTGGCCCCGCCGTGACCATCGTGGGGCCATGAGAAGCTCGTGGTGCGGCCTGGCCCCGCCGTGACCATGGAGGCCTTGGGAGGAGAATTAGCAGATAGACCATCCCTCTGTCTTCCCCCGTTTTCTTGTATCTACAGTTCAAATGCAGAAGTGGATCTTTGCTAAGCAGTCACGGGAGCCAGCATGCTAAGGCTGTGCCTCTGCCCGTGAATTTCTGCTCGGTATCCCACGCTACGCCGCTCTGTCTTCTGAGGTTCCAGTGTTTAGAAAGGTGTTATGTTGTCTGGTGCATCGACCTCGTAGTTATTCCATGACCCTCTTTGTCCTGTTAAAATTTGTTCTGATGTCTGATTTCATAAGGCAGCTTTGCAGCCTTCTGATTAGTGTTTGTGTGGTGTAGTTTTATGTATTTTTATTTGTAACCCGTGTATTTATATTTAATTTGGATTTCTGATAGAAAGCATATATCTGGGTCTTGCTTTTGGAGTTTTGTTTTGTTAATTGTTTATATAAGAGGGAGAGAGAGAAGCAGGTACTGCTTGATCCTGTGAACTGGTTTACAGCGGCTGAGGTGGACTGGGGCTAGAGGCACAGTGGGCAGAGCGTTCCACATCCCCTCGCCACTGCTGGTCCCTACCGTCTGCCTGGAGCGGAGCAGGCAGGGCCCACTCCTTGTTCTGTCTTTGTATTAGTTTCTCAATGTTGTTTTCACTTAATGTTCTTTTAAAGTTTCATATATTTAGTTTTATTTATTTGGAAGATGTCTGTCCACTGGTTTACTCCCCAGAAACCTGTGAGAGCCAGGCTAGGGCCAGGCCAGAGAAGGGCTCCAGGAGTCAGTCCAGGGTCCACGAGGGGCGAGAGGGGCAGGCTGGCAGAGGGGAGCTGGGGCGTCAGCCAGGTATCCTCACGGTGGGGTCTGGGCATCCTGAGAAGCCCCCAGACCCTGTACTCAGGGCCTGCCCTAATGGAGCTGTTCACATGAAGACAGGGACAGAACAGCATCTCCCCAGTTTTATCTTCTACTGGATAATTTCAGTATTCTGCATTATCTTATACCTTAAACAGCTTTCAGTATCTGGTACAAAGTTTATAATACTGTCTCTACTGAATATTATTGTGCTGCTCCAAGTGGAGCATGTTACTAATTGTGCTGCTACTGCGGAGCCTGCTGTGGGCTCGCCCTCACTGGGAGGGACCGTGTCCCTGAGCCGGGCTGCAGCCACGGAGCTTGCTGTGGGATCATGTCCCTGAGTTGGGCTGCAGCCACGGAGCTTGCTGTGGGCTCGCCCTCACTGGGAGGGACCGTGTCCCTGAGTCGGGCTGCAGCCACGGAGCTTGCTGTGGGCTCGCCCTCACTGGGAGGGACCATGTCCCCGAGTTGGGCGGCAGCCATGGAGCCTGCTGTGGGATCATGTCCCTGAGTTGGGCTGTAGCCACGGAGCCCGCTGTGGGCTCACCCTCACTGGGAGGGACCATGTCCCTGAGTTGGGCTGCAGCCACGGAGCCTGCTGTGGGCTTGCCCTCACTGGGAGGGAGCCCCCAGCACATGTCCCTGAGTCGGGCTGCAGCCATGACTCACCCTCACTGCACTGTCCCCTCTCCTAGATCCTGACGCCGAGGTGTGCCTTCATGCCCTGCGGCTCGTCCAGTCTGTGCTTCTGGAGCCTGAGGTCTTCTCCAAAGCAGCTCCCGAGCTCCGGAGCTCCCTGCCCCTGCAGCGCATCCTGGCCATGAGCAAGAGCCGTAACAGCCACCTGCAGGCGGCCGCCCGGGAACTCCTAGAGGACCTCCGTGCCCTGGAGCAGGATGCATAGCTGTGCCCTGCCCAGGGCTTGCCGGAGGCCGTCACTCTATCCGCCTCCGGTATTATGACCACGTGTTGCAGGTGGCAAATCACAGTTGACTGGAGATGGACATGAACTGATAGGTACACTGCGCCGCTCCCTGTGGGAGTGACTGTGCTGCCCAGGGAGACCAGCACAGGGCCCACCCCCGAATATAGGCTGTGTCCACCTGCTGGACGGGCCGTGCCGCTCCTGCCTGCAGGTCGGCTTGCCCGGAGCAGCTGCCTGTACCTGATGCATCCCGGCACCACGGGAGTGCACACGGCCGGCGTTCCCCAAGATTCAGTTCCTACACACAGTTCATTCAGTTCATTTTCTCTCTAGTGGGCATAGTGAGCCCCCAGCACATCCAACCACCCATGGGACCTTCTGTTTACCAGCCGCTTTAGGTGGCCTTGGGCATTTCAGATCCGTATTTTTTTGTGCTATTTTATTTTTGAATAAAGTCAGAAGAGTCACTGTGTTAGGACTGCTGCTTTGCGGAGCTACCTTTTCACTCTGCACCCTCAAGTACCCTGGCCAGCAGGAGGCGCTCTGTGCACCGGTCCCAGCTCTGTGCACCCTCAAGTACCCTGGCCAGCAGGAGGCGCTCTGTGCACCGGTCCCAGCTCTGTGGCATCAGTGGGGAGCCCAGCTTCCCGCTCATGGACTGGAGTGCGTGCTGTCCATCTCAGCACCTGCTCTGTGCTTGGGCGTGCTTGCATCTCCGCCCCCAGCACATGTGTACTCCAGTCTGCTTGCTGTCACTCTGTCCAACACGCCCTGGGCCCCTGGTGGGGGGCAGGAGAAGCACGGTGCCCCCCACTGACATGGATGTGTGCAGCAAGAGCCACTCGGCATCTGCTGCCCAGAGCCCTGGACACAGGCTGGTGCCACCAGAGGCAGAGCCAGGGTCATGTGGAGAATGCAGCCATAGGTGCTGTGTGGGTCTGTGGGTGCCACCTGCAGCCTGGGGCCACAGCCTCTGTGGCTCCTGGTGTGGGGAGGTGACCAGAACAAGCTGGTGCCCCTGGAGCTGCAATGGCCGGCAGTGTGTAGAGGAGGGAGATTGGATTGTGGCCAGGGGCAGAGGGTGGCAGGCCCAGGGGAGGCGAACCACACAGTGCAGGAAAGAGTAAGGCCAGTTCTGCGGAGGACGCCCTGTCTCCTCGCCCTCAAGGACGGTGGCTTGACCACAGGCCGGCTGAGGGGACATGCGGGTAGAGAAACTGTCGCTCCCACTGTCCTGTGAATCTCAAAATCGGCAGCATTTGTGAACGTAATGGCGGAAGCCCACCTCTTGTGTTAAGTGCCAGAGCTCTTTCCTTAGCACCAGAACTGAATCCTGGCAGCCTTGCCCACGTGCCTGCCTCTCTGAGGGCCCTGCTGCCCAGTGGCCCACAGCTTCCTGCCCAGTGTGATGCAGGGTGGCGCGGGGCGCCTGGCCCTCCTGCATGGTCAGGTTGCGTGCAGCTGCTTGTCTGTCACTGATGCAGGATGTTGTGTCAGTTTAAGTACTAAGCACAGGACCACAGAGTAGCAGACCGAGGCTCGGAGTCAGGCCGAGATGAGGAATTGGCATTGTGGCACGGCAAATTAAGCCACCACCTGCAATGCAGGACTCTCTGAGTCCCGGCTGCTCCACCTCCCAGCCAGCTCCCTGTTTGTGGCCTGGGAGTGCAGCGAAGGATGGCCCAAGTGCTTGGGTCCCTGCACCCACGTGGCAGACTCAGGAGAAGCTCCTGGCTCCTGGCTGGCCTGGTTCAGTCCCAACTCTTGGCAGCCATCAGAGAAGTAGGCTCTGTCTCCTCCCCTTTTCTAACTCTGCCTTTCAAATAAATCAGCACTGAAGAAGGAAGGAGGTTGGTGAAGGCTGAGTATGCCGTTACTCCAGTTCCGTGGGCTGTGACAACAGCAGGGCTGAACCAAGAGGCAGGCAGTCTCATTCCCCAGGAAGCGCTGAGGTCAGCTCCACCTTGCTCCAAGGGGAGGCGGCCATGACCATCTCAAAGGCCCTCCCCTTGGCTCTGGACTGTGCTGTGGTGTGGGCACTCAGAGGGGGTGCTGCCTCAGCTGTCGTGACAGGTGGCTGGCCTCCGGAGATGTCCAGCTGTCTGCCCTGCGTCTGCATGTTCAAGTGCACCTGCGGAGGCAGCCTGAGTAGGCGGTGACCCCCGCCCAGCAGTAGTGCCCAGGCCCTGCTTCTCTGCGTCTTCATCCCCTCTTTGTTTTCACCATGGTTAGTGATGCTGCTGTCTTCCCAGGCCTGCTGGTAGGAGCGTCTGTTCTGGTGTCGACCCCGTGGTGGTCCTGAGGTCAGACCCCCGCTCCAGGGTAGCCTCATCCCTCCACTGGCAGTGCCTAGCCACACGGCGGTAACAGTTGTAGCCGAGTCCAGCGGACCTGTTTGGTTTTTGTTTTTGGTGTTGTTTCAGAGAAGCCACCTCCAAGTGTCCATAGGCCCCCCAAGCCCCCCGCCTAGCCCTGTGTTCTGCTAAATGTGTCCTCCTTGGCTTAGACCACGCTGACCTGTTTTGAGCCCATCCTTTGCTGCCGTGGAGGATCAGGGCCTGTCCTCATTGTCATGCACATGGCTTTTTGTTTTTCGCACCACCGCCTGTTGGGTTTCATAACCAGCATGTGAAGCTCTGGACCTGGGGAAGCTCACGGGCATTTGAGCTAAGCTCTCTTGGCCTTTCAGCTGTGTGACCCCAGGCCGCCATCAGCACAGCAGCCCAGCTTGCTGAGGCCCGGCATGCATCTTTTTTTTTAACTTCTTTTTTTAAATGATCATTTTATACAATTCCATAGGCCCTTGGAGTTCCTCACCTCCTCCCCAAGTCTCCTCCCACCGACTCAGTTCCCATGTATTATTACTATAGTATAGTTCTTCACACACAGTCATACGTCCATCATTGCGGGCATGGACAATGACAGAGTCCAGCATCCTATTGTCAGGATATAGTAAGCAGTTTCATTGGGAGTCCATCTTTGTCTGGAAGTAGAGATGCATACTGCACTGTATCCTCACATCTGGATAGCATAGTCTCCATTACAGTTACTGTACATCCCTTAAATGAAAAGCCTCAAGACAAAATCAACAATAGAAAGAAAAAAAAAATTAACAACACCATGAAGTTAGATAACATGTTACTGAATGACTAATGTGTCTCTGAAGAAATGGAAAAGAAAATCAAGAACCTTCTTGAACAAAATGATGCTACTGTATGATCTATGAGTGAACAGTTTAATGAAGAGAAAGTGTTCAAGAGAGGAAACAAAAAAAAAATCAGAATCCATGAATATAGTTTTCATTGATCTTTGTGAGATGTGTCTCCTGTAGGCAACAAATAGATGGGTTTTGTCTTCTAACCCAGTCCTGTCATTTTAGCAATGGGTTATTCATTGATTTAGTCTTCTGTTGTCATTTTACTGGGATGTTCTTTGCATTTATTTTTGGTTTTGGTGGGTGCTATTCCTCTTCTCTGTCAAGAGAACATCATGAAGTATCATTTGTAGGGCAGGTTTGGAAGAGGCACTGTTCTTTTAATTTTTATTTACTATGGAAGAATTATATTTCATTTTCAAAGACAAAGGAAAGCTTTGCTGGTACTTGAACCTGGGCCAACAAATTTTGCTTTTAGAATCTGGAATATGTCACCCCATTCTCTTCTGGCTTTTTAGAGGTCTCCTGTGAGTTTAATTGGCATTCCTTTATATGTCAATTGATTTTTTTATGTGCACATTTAAGGATCTTTATGTTTGATTAAAGAGAGCTTGATGATCATGCCTCATGGTGAAGATCGCTTTTGGTCAAGCCTGTTGGGAGTTCTGTGCCCCTCCAGGATCTTGTTTCCCAATTCTTTCTCTAGATTAGGAAGATTTTCCCTTAATATTTCATGAAACACATTTCTCTTTCTGTACCTTCTGGGACTCCCATAACTCTTATATTTGGCCTTTTAATAGCGTCTTTCAATTCTTGAATACTTTTTTTTAGCTTCACCCAGCTCTGCTTCCAGGAAACAGGAGAGGACAGAACGACAGCAGAGAGGTACCTAGAGACTGACAGACACAGGAAAGCAGTGGACACGACGGTGTGGTGCCGCAAGGACCAATAACCCGGTGGCATTCAGCGAGTGGCAGTCTGGATTGCACCAGCAGCTGGAACTCCGAAAACAGTAAGGGACGTTCACCGGGAGCTTGGGAGGCGAGCCCAGACAAAGAACTGCCTGTCCTGCTGGTCTGTTTGATTTGAGCAGGAGCAGACAGAGCAGTAGGACCCAGACAGGCAGCGCGAGAACAGGGTGATGTCACAGCCCAGTCCGCCCCCTAGGCCGTATCGGGTGCTGTTTTGTGAAGGGAGGCAAAGGCTATGGACAGGACTGCACATGCGCTGAGCTGGGAGTGTCCTCTTCTGCTTCCTGGAGTGTGCCCTCTCTGCTTCGCACTGGCTAATGTTTCTCCATCTGTTTAAATGTGTCCTTACCCTATTCTGCCATCTTGATTCTCCCCTGGCCTGGGTCCTTAGGGACACACACAGTGCCCACCCTTGTGGCCTTTTGTTCTGGTGGAGGGCAGGCTGTAGGCTCAGCACGTCAGGGCCCATGACTTTATGCACACTGGGATGGTTTGCATACCTGGGAGGAAAGTCATGGATGGTGAGGCCCGGGCGAGGCATCACAGGCAGATGTGATGGCAGCAGCCTTTTGTCTGTATGTGGATGTGTGTGAGACCATGGATTCCGTGGACAAGGCCACCTGCCAAGATCCCTCAGAGGCCAGCTGTGCCCGCCCGCTCAGACATTGGCACCAGCAGAGCTTCACCTCTAGGCTCCCTGACCCATCTGTTCAGAACAGAGGCCCTGGGCATGTGTGCTTGGTCCCTGTCACCTGCTGTGTCATCCCTAGGAGCTTGTGGCACCCTCCAGACCTCCAAGAACCATGATTGTCAGCTCCACGTGGCTGAGTGCTGTGCCAGGCATGCCCATGGCACCTTGGTCTGAGACCATCCCCTGTGCCCAGGAGGTGCCCTGCATCCAGGGATGGGTCCTGTCCAGGTGTGAGAAGCAACAGAGTGCTCCGTGCCCAGCTCCTGGACACTCCCCACCCTAGCGAAAGAAGGAGTGGGGAGGATGCCGGCTCTCTCAGAGGAGCCCAGCACGCGTGGGTGGCAAGCAAGCAGGGAAGTGGCTTGGCTCCATACCCAACCCTAGGGCTGGCCCCAGGACACTGTGCATACCCACCCTTATTCTCACTGGCCCCTCTGAGCCTCCACTCCTTTTTGTTTAGCTAAAATGCAAAGGGGTGGGCGTGTGACATGGTGGTCATGTGGCCGCTGGGGACATCTGTGTTCCCCATCAGAGGGCTAGGCCCACGTCTGGCCACTGTGTCTACCACCCAACCCAGCCTCCTGCCAAAGCAT